TTAAGTGTATTTAATTATTTAATAACTTATAAAAATTATATGAAAAGATTATACAAAAATATTGTTCTTATACCACTACTCAAATTAAAAATGTATTTAGTAAAAAAAGAAACAGTTTCTGTTTTTTGCTACCTGTATTTCGCTAACAGTTTACTGCTAATGGTTTCTGAATTGAGTAAGAATCAAGAATTTCTTTTAGTTCCTCTTGATATCAATCTTTGTCAATGCATTAGTCCATGAATAATGTCAAGTTCAAAAGTAGACTAGGGTTGAGCATTAGATACAGGTACACCAATTACGTATACGAACTCCATCAAGTGTCCCGATTGGTCGCACGCTTCAGTGGAGAAGGTGGGATGTTCACCAGATCTGAGGATCGAATCTCCAGTTGTTAACAATTAGTGAAACTAATCTACTAACAACTAATGAAACTAATCTACTAACAACTGCTCTTGTCAAAAAAAAAAAAATTACATATCCAACCTATTCGGGCAAATATTATTTCATAACTAAAATAAATTACATAACTAGCATGTATAAAAGAGAATACTTACAAGTATTAAATTAGGTATCAACTGTAAAAGTTAGAAATTATTTACCTAACTTGTTGAGTTGATTTGTTTAACTTGTGTGTTACCTGTATATACTTAACATTTTTCTTTTTGCGTAAAACAAACTAGCAATTTAGGTAGGAATTCATGATTCTTTTTACTTGTGTTGGCCAATGAATTTTGCCCATTTCCTCTCTTCTTATAATTTAATTTATATCTCATTTTATATTGTCATTTGGTTTGAAAATGTGATTTAATTTAAATTTTCTTAAAAAATAAGTGTTTTATGGTTTCGAACTGCACTTTTTAAAAAATCTCAACTCTAATGAAACTAAATATTCTAATTAAATAAATTAGATCCAGAATTTTTCTAGAATTTTATTATCATAATAATCTTGTTAAATTTCCTTTTCATATTATACTTTTGTGAAATTTATTACCATGATGAAAAAGTGCATATCAAATTTGAATTTTTAACAAAAAAATTAGAGTCCTAATTTTAAGTGACGTCATTTTATTTAATTAAAATCTAATTTAAAATTTAAATATTCACGCTATTAAATATTAAAATTTAAATTTAAAAACAAATTATATATTCTAATATAATCCATTTTCAAATATATATATCAACATTTAGATGAACTTTTGAATTTTTAATTAGATTTTCATTTTGAAGTATAAAATCAACACTTAATAAAGTAAATTTTTAAATTTTAAATTAGAATTTAATTAAATAAAATGATATCATTTACAATTAAAACTCTTTTTTTTTTTTTTGTGTGTGTGTAAGGATTAATGCACATTATTCCCATAACTTTATAACCAATTTACATCATACATTTTTTGGCTAAAGCCTAAATGTTATCTTTAGTCCTTAAACTTTTAATTTTGTGCTTTTTTAGTCATTTTGTTATTTAAGTTATATTTGAAGTTGCTTTCTCACAGTATTTCATAAAAGTATTAATTTATTATAATTAAATTAATTTCAATTGATGTTTTATATAATTTAGTAATCATATAATTGTATAAAACTCTCTTTAAAGTAATTATTAAATACTAATATAATTTTTTTATAATAAAATAATAAAAATATTATAATACAGCACTTCACAACAATTTCAAATATAAGCTTAATTTGTTAAGTCTATCCAATTAGATTGACTTAACTGAGTAAATGATGAAAAGACTAACAAATATATTTTTTTAATCATTCAGAGCAAAAAAAAAAGTACAAAAATAGTTTAGAGACTAAAAATGTTCAAAATTGAGAGTTCAAAGACTAAAATGATATTTAGCAAACAAAATATGACAAATGGTAATTAAGTTATTTTGGTAAATATGGAAGGGAATCTAACAAGATTATCATGATGATAAAATTCCCTCTCTTTTTTTTTTTTTTGATAAAATCCTACAAATTTAGACTAACCAAAATCTGGCACAAGGAGTAAATTATGATTCCATGAACAATTTTCTTTCCTTCTATATCTAATTTTCTTGGGGTTATAAATATATTCAACCAGCTCCAATGGGATCAACCCACTTAAATCGATCTTTCATAGTTTCCATGGCGAGATCAAAAATTTTAGTTACTCTAGTCATTTTTTTGGCTTCTTTGGTGGTGGCCATGGCATATAGACCTTTTGCAATCGGTCCTAATGCCTTCGTTGATAAAACTTGGTATGATGCTCATGCCACATTTTATGGTGACATGACTGGCCAAGAAACTATGCGTAAGTACATACATTTTCTTTATGACTAACTTAGATTATTGTGTGATGTTGGAACCCTTGATTTTTTTTTTTTTTGGTTTTTAATGTTAGTAATGTGTTGATTACTACAGAAGGAGCATGTGGATATGGAAATCTGTTCGATCAAGGATATGGATTAGAGACTGCAGCCCTAAGCACTGCACTCTTCAATGAGGGGCTAGCTTGTGGGGCTTGTTTTGAACTCATGTGCGTGAATGACCCTGAATGGTGCATTCCAAATGCTGGTGTTATCAGAATTACTGCAACCAACTTCTGCCCTCCCAATTATACCAAAACGACAGATATTTGGTGTAATCCGCCACAAAAACACTTCGATCTATCGATGCCAATGTTCGTCAAGCTTGCCAATTATAAAGCTGGGATCATCCCAGTCAAGTATCGTCGCATCTTGTGCCACAAGAATGGAGGGGTGCACTTTCAACTGAACGGGAACCCTTATTGGCTTTTGGTGTTGTTGTATAATGTTGGAGGAGCTGGTGACATCATTGATGTTAAGGTTAAGGGATCTCAAACTGGATGGCTTCAGATGAACCATAATTGGGGAGTGAACTGGCTGGTTAGCACAGTATTGACAGGACAAAGTTTATCCTTCCAAGTAACAACCAGTGATCATGTGACATTACTCTTTAATAATGTGGTACCTACAAATTGGCAATTTGGTCAAACCTATGATGGGAAATTAAATTTTTAAGGAAACTAGAACATTAAGCATAATAATGTTGTGCACTAGTTACATTTCAAAAAATTTTGTAAACTGGTTATCTTACAAAAAATGTTGTGCACTAATTTCTTGGTTGGAAACTTCATCGACTCAATTATGTGAAGCAAAATGTAATAGAGGAGGTTGGGATAATAAATTCATTCATTTTTATTTTTAAAAATGGTTCTTCTATTCTCCCAGAAAATATTTTTAGTGAATGAAATCTATATTTATCTTTACTAGTATTCAATAATTAAATGCTATAATGACAAGGAGACACCATAAAACAATCAACTATGTGAGTTTTAACATAAGATTTTTATCAAATATAATTCTAATTGGCAATCAATTAAATATTTTTTCTTGTATTTAAGTTACATGTGTTTCTTGTTGTACTTTGATGCATGTGTTTCTTATTGTATTTTGATGTGAGATATTTCCACTTAATAGTAGCAAAGCAGGAACAATCCTAGGATTCTTTTGCTAAGTGCCATGGCAACCAAACGAAGCTTACGTCGAATCACATACAAATGTGAAAGCAATGGCAAAGAACATAGATATGAAATTAAATTAAACACAATGTCTTAGCATCAAACTTTAGATGGGAGACGAGAAAAGGGAAATAGGTGCACGCTAAATACAATAATAGTTCATACAATTTCTCAGTGGAAATTAAGCGAGACTTTCAATGAAAAGGGTTTTCGTACCCTACATTTATGAGGCTTGCCTTCATTTGATAAATAATTTTGTACAATTTAATATAGTTTTAACTACACAAAACATTTTTTTGATAAATTAAAGAAATGGTTTAGGAGTTCAATGGAGTGAGTTGCCACATTACAAGACTGTTTAAAGAGGCACCTGGGACCAAATTTATGAGTTGTGGGACTAAAAAGGTACCAAAAAAGTTGAGGAATCATTTTGGTACCAAAAGAAAAGGATTAAAACTATTCATGATAAGGCTGATAAAATGAGCAGAAAATAATTAAGCTGAAAAAAGAAGAAAAATGAATACACATTAAGGCCGATTATAGTTGCCAAAAAAATGCTCCTCATGTATGACCAAGAAGTACATCTTTGTACGGAGTAGGGGGCTTTGGGGCAGCTAGTGTTCTTGCCGCCTCAGCTTCTATTTTTCTCCTTTCCTCGTCTGGAATCAGAGGAACTTGACCTTCTCTTTCTTGAATCAGTCGCTCTTGTGCTCCTCCCCGCAACTTCTCTAGCCGTAGCACGTTGATTTGCTGCATTTTGAATACCTTGATTACATTTGTGAATCCCCCCATGAAAAACAAAAGGCTACCAGAAATCCCCAACCAGACCCAGCTGCTGCCCTGCATAAAGAAAATTCTCCTGTTATATCACATAATTATCTGCTTTTGACACATTTCATGGATAAGGTATGCTGAATTATAAATTTAAGCTGTTTTATAGATGTATATGTCACATGAACTCAATTGCACTATAATACATTTTTTTTTACCAAATTAGCTATAATGTGTCAATGATAATTTTAATCTCCTTGTCTATAGCAAAACATTCAACCTAAAACTGATTAGGTAAGTTTCAACCTAATTAAAAATAAGAAGAACAACAACTCGAAACTTATATCCATTGTTGGATAATTCCACTTAACACTCTTCCTGGAAGAACTAAATTAGCTTCTCTCCAAAAGGATCAAACAACATACAAACGTGGGAAAATACCTCATGTATAACTTGCAAGTACATGTATTCCTTGAAATCCTAATAGCTTCCTACTGAATCAAGCATTCAATCAAAGCTTACCAGTAATCCCATCCCATGGCGACTCAATCCGGTTTGCTCCTGGCTATTAAGAATACCACCCACCATGAACAAGGTGCTACCTATTAAAAATGGGAGCTGAACACTCTGTTGCAGGATCTGGACATGCCCGTCAGCTCTCTCATAAATTTGGCAAGAGTTGTGGATGGAGCCAAGCACCCACAAAACAGGGCCAGCAATAAGCATATTCAAAGCATGTTTCTCAAATCTAAAGTAAACATATCCTTTCCCCTCCTGCAAATCAGTAGCCAAGAGAAAACACACTCATTTACAACATACAAAATCCAGTTTCTTTAATCATCTCTCTCGATGGACCATTTCGTCGAACACATAATAAACATTACAAATGCCATGAACAAAATTGCCATGGAAACGGAGTTACAGAATTCCGATGCAAAATTCAGTACCCAAATTCTAAGAAACAACTCCAGAATAAGATTCAAATCCAAAAATATCTGAAAATTTCAAATATTTCTTTGATTATGGTTACCTCGACGAAGAGAATGAGAATTCCCAAGAAGAAAAGAAGTGAACCCAGTGCTTGGACGAGGGGAACGGCGAATTCCACGAAGGCAAGCTGGGTATCGAGCTCCATCAACGGCAACCGGAAATCGATGCCGGCTAGATGCGCGACCAGATCGTGAACATTCACTACAATAATAAGCGCCAGCGCTATGAGCATAAGAACAAGACTCGATCTGGGTTCCAGGGAAAACTGAGCCCCAAACCCAGAACCCAGAACGACGGTGGCAAACAAGTACAGCCCGGCATTTATATACTCCGCCCTGGTCCGGCCACGTCCCGGACCGTACATCCGGCTCTCTCTTGCCGTTGCTAACTTCACCATTACTATGAAAATTTGTCAGTTTTCTGTACTTGTGATGAGAAAAGATTCTAACTTTACCATGATAAATTGAGAATAAGTGAAGATTCTTCAATTCAAAGATGAAATTTGTATCTCAACTGTTCAACTAGTGCATTCTCCGTCTTCTTCTTTATGAATTATTGAAAGAGTTTAGAAGAGGTAAATGGGAGAGTGGAGAGGTGGTTTCAGGGTGCGGGAAAGAAGGGGAAAAGCGGGTACGTGTCTTCATGCATGAGTTTTGATGCTAGCACACATGGCAGAAAATGAGTGCATGATGTCTCAGAGAACATTACTTGGAAGGAAAAAAAATAATCTTATCTTGTGGTTTAGATCGTAGAAAATAAAAATTTTTAGATGAGTATAATTCCAATATTAAGCCACTCTTAAACTTAAGTGCATTACCCATGTGATTACTGTATAAATTTTCCACACACAATACCAAATTCGAATTCCTGGCCCCATTTCCCATTTCCCATTTCCCCTTTCCCTTACCCTCAATTTCTTTTGGACCAAATATATATATATATATATATAT